GCTGCCGATATATGTGAATGGACATGACTTAGCAGTCAGTACTGAAAGAGAGGAGATTTAATTGAACTCTGGCTTCTTGCAGAGTCATTTTCATCACCGTTTTCATACAGACACTACGGCTCTCGTTTTTTCTGAAACTAAAGACTTTCCTCACGTTTGAAACAATCTAATTTCAGGCAGAGAGGAAGTACATCAGATTGATGGATGATTGTTAGGCTGATTACAATCAGAATTACAGGTTTGCTGCAAGTTAATGAAGCTTGGGGGCTAATAATTCAGTGCTGATGTTTGATAAGAAACCTCATTTAAACTCAAAGGCATGATGCTGAAGTCTGTTCTGGGTGGTCTCACTCCTGGGATGGTCAGTATACTGTTTGGGACAAAGATGAGATTAAAATATATATATTAATAAAACACCTTCAATAAAATGTGTTTGAAGTGCTTGTTTTTAAATCCAGACACTGTTTCCACAAGGACTGCCTGTGTGCCACCTTAAAAAGAAATTCCCTCATTTGGAGTTCTGAAGATGTTGATGGACAGTACGACGCATGAAATGTCCTGTAAAGGTTTTGATGAAATATTTAGTCAACAATAGCCAAAACGAGATGAGACCCAGGCGTGTCCGTCATTACGGTTTTAGCTCTCATCCTCCTCCCTTACAGCTTTCTAATTGGCCAACAACCAATTAGAAAGCTGTAAGCCACAGCAGGTCTGTGAAAATGCTTGTCAAACGTCTTCAGTAGCTCTGAGGGAACTTTGCTAACAAACATGTGGCGTTTGTAAGACAGGCAAGTGTTTGGTTTGACCGACGAGGATAAAATTCATACTTTCTAACACGTGCCGTGTTTCTCAGGCAGGCCAGTCTGAAGCACACAGAAGGTTCACTTGCTTCTTAATGCTCCAGTTTTCTGCTTTTCCTTTTCAGCTCTTCTTCTGGGCCGTGTAAGGCATTCACGGTGAATTAGTGGAATCTGTGCTCCAATACTAGGGATACAAACCAAAACACGATTCTTTGCCTCCATAGACAGGACGCAACCATTTGGAGTAAAACGCAACTGAAACAGTGTCAAATTTATTAACACTTTATAATACAGTCTGTGACTAAGGATGTCATCCCACTTTATTTGAAATTACAGTGTAATTATATTTATTTGAATATATTGAAAGGTAGATACGCTAGAATAAGGACATAAAAAGTCAAGTTTTTAAAGGAAACAAAAAATTATACTCTAAGTAAATGCAACTAGCGCATGATTTCCTGATAATTTAACAGAAAAACTATTTTTCCCCATCTTACACCATAAGTACACAAAGGACAACTGAATAACACAAAACCCGTCACACATATCAATATAATGAATATTAAATAACAATGTAGGAAAATAAAGATGCAACAAAGCCAAGGTTAAGACACTCCATAATACAGCCTCTGTCCCAAAAAGTACTGAAAAATTACTTATGCACTGCTTGTATTTATTTACAGTATGATTGTTTTAAAAACCTGACCTGTTACCTTCTTATTCTACTGTCTAAGTATTAGTAAATATACTTACATTGTCACTTCAAATACAATACACTGAAATTCCATTTAATTACATGGGGAATTACGCTATTTTAAGCTAAATAAGTATTATTAGTTATTCAAATAATTAATTATTAAGGAAAAGATTGACATGTAATCAAAATTACTTAAAGTCAGTAGGATACGTTTAATTGCTACCTTTGCTTTGTTATTTAGGTTGATTTTCAGGTCCAGCACATTTGAAAGTGAGAGTGTACTGCACCGTCTGTCGGCCAGAAGCTCAGAGTGCACACTTTGATATCAACAACTGTGTTTAAGAGAAAATATGTTTTTACCATATGAATGCAGGAGGACCCACCTGGAGCTACAGTTCATTTTTAAATGAGTTGCACATTGAGCTGATAGGCGCTCATGCGCAGAATCTATTAATAGTCTAACAAATAAATGCATAGATAAACTCATCAGTACAGGGGGCATGAGTTTGGAACTGTTTGCATTGTATGCAGGAGAAAACATCACAGCACTAAAACAAAAAGAAGTCCATTGAAATACATCTATAAAACCTGTCTACAACTTTATATGAATACAAACTCTTTCATGGTACAGTTTCAGTGTCAGGTGGTGGGAGAGCTTGCTATTAGCCTTCTTTTCAGACTCCGCTGGGACCTGTAGTAACCTGAAAGGTTGCAGAAATTCAACTGTTACTGGAAAACAGATTTCAAATGGACTCTATTAGCAGTGCTGTGGGTGCACTGGGTAACTCCCAGTGCATCAATGAGCATTAAAACACAGATGTGTACACTGTGGTAAGTCTCAGTGTAGCTGCTACTCAATCACAGGCTATAAATATACTGTGTATAACTCAAAGTGCACAAACAGCCTGCAATCTATCACCGGTCAACAACACGGCGTTTGGCTGTTCCAGCATTAATTCAACATTTAAAATGATTATTACTCTGTAATATTTTTCTCTCTAATTGCAGTTCATGGATTTTGAAGAATGTAAATGTCAGAATCGAGCGTCCGCAAAAAGCGGTTATAGTAAAGGTCACTTCAGTGGGCACGATAAATGAAGCACGAATATTTAATGGCTTGGATAGACAAATGAAAACTTTAATGATGCCCAAATGAACAATAGCCGTCTTCTTTTAACATATATTTACAGCTATCATAAGTCACACACAACAGGCCTAATCTAAGAGACTCAAATCCATAATTCAGTGTACTGATACAGGCTGAGGTAAGTCCATACAACAGTGGAAACAGTTTCAGTGTTCACTCTTGGCTAAACCCAGAATTTGGCACTGTAGTAATAACAACTAAAAAAGCACTAGCATCGTTTTGCACGTCCTTGTTGAGTCTTGCGCTACCTTTCTGTGGCTTATCCAGCAGGCTGCTTCTAACCAGCCAGTATATGAGGTGAGAAAATCAAAACCATTCTTAACTTAAACTTTTGTTCAAGGTCACCTTCTTCTCATATAGCAGCCATGTCTCCTGTGAATATGCTGAATGTGCAGGCCAGGAACAGCAGGCTTTGTGAGCAGACTGTGGTTGTGTGCAAGTAAATGGTGGATCTTGAAACTGCTGGCAATGCTCAGATATAAGTGTGCTCAGGTTTTCATATTATATTTTATCAGCCTTCTTTAATGCATCAGCCTTTGTTAAAACTGAGGCTGGTACAGAACAGGAAGTGTTGGTCCAAATATCCCCCAGTTGACCTCTATGGGCTAAAAAAGCAGGCTAACTTTGGTTCGCATGCACCCAACTTAACAAACCAGCTTGTTTTTCGGACAATATGAAAACATGAGCACACTTACTCCCCCTTGACTTACAACTGACAACCAACCACACAGTATGTGTAACACAGAGCAATCCACAGTCTGACAAATCAGGGCTACACAAAATCAGATGCTGCTGCACAGCTAATAAGATGACTTCCTGTATCTGAGGCTAGCTAGCTTGCTTCCTCAGTGATCAACATTGTTAACATGTGTTGCTGCTGGTTAACAGTGTGAATTGCTGTGCTGTCTTAACCAGGAAACGAGCCGATTTACTTTGTCTCCCTGCTGTGATTGCACTAAATGGCTGCGCTCAGAAAGGATGGAGAATTTCATTTCACCTGACATTACCCCGCGCAAATTTGCAGATTGTGTGTTTTGTTTTTATTCACCCCAAGCACACAGGTTGTGTTAACTATACAAATGCAGAAACATTTACCAAAATGATATTCACATGTCAATTCATTATAATGCTACTGTATTTACATATAACAGCAACAAAACGCCCGATCTCTTGGTCAGGTCTATGACCTTGAAGTCCTCAGGCCCCGGCCTGTGGTGGAGTGTCGAGCGCTCTGATGTGGACGCTGGGCAGAGTGAACCAGGCCAAAGGAAGCTCTCGTCCAGCGCTGTCGTCCTGGAATTTGATACTAAGGTAGAAATCTCCGGTGTAAAGGAAAAGCAGGGCACCCTCACATACAGTACTTTCGTTGGGTTTAACCTGGCGACAGAAAAGAGACACAGCAGTAAGAACTGTTAGTGGTCACCTCGCTGTTATTCCCTAATGCAGGTTCAGCTGCATGACTGGCTTTGATGATGAAGAGCAGACAAGTTCTCGTTCAGCTGAGAACGACTGCCAGAATTAAGCAGTTCTGCACATTCATGAAAGCGAAGAATTCAAGTATTCTTTCATGTGCTTTTAAAACTCTTTGTTCTGGCACCAGACGAATCCTGTTCAACAGCCTGCAGCTTGTTTAACATCAGAAATGAGAAGCGGTTATATACAAATACTGACTCTGAGGATCTCTTCAGAGCCAATAGAAATTTTTTACGATGAGAGTAAAAGGACCATGCCGTCTTTTGAGGCGTTAGGGTTGTTTTGCTAAGAAAAGTAGAACCTTTAGACTTTCCAGTGTGTTTTCCTCTGCGTCTACTTAGCCACTCAATTCTATTTAAAGTAACTGACAGTGACTTGTGCAATCGATCAAAACAAAAGTCACGTCTGTCTCTGCCGTTCCCAGATGTGCAGCATATATGGGAAACTAAACTAAGAAGACTAAACTATGCCTCTTTCCAGAAATTATGAGCTTAAAAAATGCAATTACCTTAGTTAGGAATTACTGAGCCCATTACAATATCAGCTTAAACTCCTGTGATGTGACTGTGTTACAATTGAGTATATGTGACCTCTGCTGCAACGACCTATCACCATTAAGAATAGATTTGTATTTGCATATCTCAGGTCTTTGCTGGGAAACAACATGAATATAGAACTGTGGCTCTGACCGACCGTATCAATGTAGAAGGTGTTGGAGCCGATGAAGGTGACTCCGTCCTCCAGATCGTAGTTCTGGACTCCATTCTGATAGTCCTGATATGGCACCACGTTCAGAGCCAGGGGCCCCACTGAATTCTTGCTGCGATTGGTCAGTTTTACTTCCAGGCTCACAGCATCCCCCACTTTACAGTCGGCGATGACATCGCAGTCACACGGTTTCTTATTCACCAACACATCTTGAAACAAAACAGAACAAGGACGACAGAAAGGATCAGTATGGGCAGGACAAGAGAGAAAGAATAAAAAAACAACAACATTCAAATCTAGCAAGGGTTCATTGTAGTAATATAACAACCACCCAACACACACACACACACACACACACTCACAACCGCAAAAGAAATAAATCCACACTGAGTGAGTTCAGTTCAATTCCTCTAAAGGTTGGCCACTGAGTCCTGATGTGTTCCCTGTTTGGCTAAGGTGCAGGGGGAGAGACAACGATTTGTTTTGAACAATGAGCTCAGTGAACTGAACGCCTACACGCTCCGGGCAGGCTAAGAAGAAGATCGACTTCAAACGTGGGAGTTCAGGGGCTCCCGAAAAGATCACCTGAGTAATGACTCCTCTGAGAGTAACAGCAGTGCACGCACACACACACACGCACACGTGAAAACCACTTGTCATATACTTTCTAGTGTAACACCTGCGGCTGTGATAAACACTGAGTCAGAGCGGCTCAGTCTGTGTGACAGGCAGATGAAAGAGCTGAGCTCGCTGCCGCTGGTGCCCCGATCTGTTGTGTACAGTGAGGGGTGGTGGCAAGTGGGGAAGTATTAAGATAGGCAATCCAGCAGGAAGGCGGGGGAACGAGGACGGGTGTGGGCAGCTGAGGCTGTGCTGTCACAGCCAGTGAGAGAGAGCCCCAGGGAGGCTGGAGCTACAGGAGGGTGACATTGAGACTCACGTCTGTATTAAAGAACACACTTCACTCAACACACACTACCACCAGCACACACTGAGGGGCTACGAGAGCTTTTCTTCTCCTTCTTTTTATTATTTGTGTTCAGCGTCTGTCTAGACTTCATAGGATGCATATAGAGAAGTTTCTGGATCTAAAAAGTAAAGCTAACTTTAACTGGCTGAAGCTTGCATTTTTTTCGAGTGGCCAGCAGGGTGCAGCTCCTCTGGTAGCAACAAGAAGTCATTTTGTAGAAACAACATCGTCCTCCTCGGATCTATGACCTCAGTAGACACTTCTCCCTCTCTGGTTTAGTTCCAGCCCTTGCTCATCATGTTTTGCTTCACCCGTCTTTGACATTTGGACTCAACATACAATGTGAAACTCTTGTTATTGAAAAAAAATTGAAATTTTATAATTTTAAGTACAAAAATTTGGCAAAATAAAAAGAAAGAACGCTGTAAGTGGGCAAGATTGTCATATGTTGTAATGATTATACTGAAAAATGCTGCGCTACTCTGCTGATATTGGACCAGGATTGGAATAAACAATCCACATAACAGTGCAATATCCTGCAAAGAAAAGTATTTTTGTAGTTAAAATGCATATCAGGTTAAAATAAATTACATAATTCTTTGTTTTTGCATTAATAAAGGTCCCAATCAGCCCAAATAACCAAGAGAAATTAAAAATGCATGCCATGAAAGACTTCGGGTCTTAAGAGCTTAAAGTGGACGTCCAAGATCTCAATGCAATCAATTAAAAATCCCATTATGATTATATTATTATTATTTAACTTTAATATAGCCCTGAGAGTAAGGCTGGATTATGAAGATAATATCATCAACTGTCTTTGTTTATTTTTTGCAATATTGTAGATTTTCCAGTTCTTACTAAATTTAGCTCGAGGCTTCTTCCACACTTTTTGTACTTTTGTAGTCTAGAATAAAAAGAAGTTTGTTTTGTTTCGAGTACTTATTGTTTTTATTCACAGCAGCAGATATTTCTTTCTTTAGAAAAGAAAGTGTTGACTTCTTTAACAGCACAGTGATCCATTCCCTGCTCTAAACCCGGATCATTTTGTGGCCGCTCAAGCAACTGAGCTCCAACTGCAATGTGTTCTGCGTGCATTTAACCCCCATTACATGCACTGTCCCACCAATATTAATTTGATAGCTATGTGCATGTATAAATAATGCATTTCCCGGTACGAGTCAAACTACTTTGCCTTTTCCAGTACACGAACTCACTTAGCAGAAACTGCAGCTCTGTGATCCGCGCATTGTCTCTATACAGGCCTCTTCCTGCAAATACTTATTACATTGTGTCAAAACTAAGTAGGTTTAGCCATGTGGACGTGCACATGATCAAGTATTCCTACAATGTGCAGCAGAGATCTACTTGACTTGCTTGCTGTTATTCCAACACTGTAATCACCTCACGCTGTTGTGAAGAGCATTTGGAAAATTACGGACTTTTGCTCTTACTGGAAGACCTCTGGTGATGTGCGTGCACACACCCATCCATAAACACACGCACAAAACATAACTCTTTCATAGCCAGAAGCGCTCAGCCTATAGTGACACCTTTGCAAGTAGTTATATTTAGTTTGTTCAAAGTCTTGTTGCTAGGAGATGTGCAAATTATAGGTAGCCTACATTGACTCTAAAACTGGAAACAAATTCTTTCACATTAAAAGCGAACAAAAGAGGATGGTTAGTCTGTAATGAGCTGATGAACTCCCACACACGCGCAGCTCTGTCACACACACACCCACAGCCTGAACACTTGCTGCAGTTTCTCTACTCTGCCATCCTCGATTGCATATCAGCACAGAGGCAATCTTCTGACTTAGATAACCAACGCAGAAAAACAACAAGTGGGAAGAAAAAGAGGGCCACTGCTAAGAGGAAAATTCCACAAGAGTTAGAAATAGATGCAATTACCTATGATTATATAAAAAGGATTTCATCAAATTGGTAAATTAGCACATACGAGCAAAGTAAAAGCCAGCCAAGACGGGAGAGATCAAGGTCTCTGACTGGCTATGGCTCACTGGGCGCATCTGCAAACGTCTACGAGTCCCTCCAGCTTTTGAAAAGCATCTGCCGTGTTCTTCTTGTTGTTGTGCAGAACTGAGAGAACCACGGTGCGCAGTTTATCTCCAAAGCCTTCTGTTAAGTTCTGCGTCGAGGTTTTATGAAGGCTGAATAAGCATGAGTTTCATCTCACAGGCTTTAAATGGGAAAAAATAATCCAGAACAAGTTAAGGAGAACACGTTTGTAATGAAAATCTGATTAAAGTTGAGTTTTTTTGTGTATCTACACAGTCATTCTATATGCACAGCTTCAAATTTTCCAGGCAAAGTCTACGCCAAGTACACTTTAAGTGATACCTTTTGTTATCAGTAAGATTTATGATTGTGTCTGAAATTATTTACCAAAGCTTAAGAGGAGATGTGATTTGTTGATGCATATAGTCTTAGCTCTACACTGCAGCTTCTTCAACTAATGTTAGCTTAAGGTCTCATCTCTGATATTTCAAAGTGAGAAACTTAAAACGCTGATTTAATATGAAACCCAAAGTTTACAAGTTTTGGACAACTTTCAATAACTGTTATTTTTAACCCTTTAAAACTGCCTGTTCCCTGTTAAGCAGAAAAATGTTCATTATCGTCTCTTTAAATAGTAAGGTTGTGCTTGTGCTTCCACAAATCCTGTTTTTGTTTCTAATAAAACTTCAATTACAATGATCTGTGGCTGGAAAGCGATAAACCAAACGATTGCTTAGCTCTCAGATCCTAGAAAAAATGTGAAATAAATATCCTCATCTGAACTTCACGTCAGACCAGGCAGGAGGACGAGGGTTGGGTAGCAGCAAAGAAAATGAGGTGGTAAATGAGCCATAGAGCAGTTTGGCCAGCTGAGGGAATTACGCAAGCGAAAGACGCCACAAAACACAGATTAGGTAAAAGTCAGCATGAAGGAGGATTAAATATCCAAATGCTGCTCCAACAAGTGCTGCAGGAGCAACAGGTGCATCACAGGGGATGTGTGTGTTTTCTAAGAACTGACTTGGGAGAGAACTCAGCTCATTTTTAATGTATTGATTTGTTGGGTTGTGACGGGTTCATTAATAAACTCCAAGAAACGAGAGAAATTGATCTGTTTATTAATTTGGTGCCTGTGCTAACTTGTTACATAATATGTGTAACGCACTCACACACACTTCTGCCCAGATGCTGCTGGAGTTGGCAGAAGTGAAGCGCTGCAGCAGGCGTCGCCACAGCAACCAGGAAGGAAACAGAGAGAGAGAGACGACACTTTCTCCTGCGAGTATGAAAGCCACCGATCAAAACGCAACTCTGATTAAACAAGCCTCTCCGCCCCTCGCAGTGTCTCTGTCACCCTTGAAGTAGGAGCGCAGGTGAAGATAAGGATGACGACCGACACCGGGTGATTTGCCAGTGTTTACTAGACTATAACGTGCGTCACCGCGGGTGTCAATACAGCTCATTAAGATTCACTCTCAAATACTGTGCAGCAACAGCGAGAAGAGGATGAGTTAGAGCCAAACAAATACAGATGTCACGTTCATCACACTTCGTGTAGGAAATGCTCGTTAAACACGGAGAGTTAACGCCGCAGAAAACTGATTACATCAGCGATATGTCGACAATGAGCGTGCATGCCTTTGTGGTGCAAGAAAAGCAATGGCGTCAAGAGAAGAGGCTTACAGTAATGCTAGTAATTATTAAAGATAACTCCATATCTGAATAATAAATAGTACACGACAAATCGCTAAAATCAAGAACAATCAACAGTGATTTCTCTGACCTGCTCACGACCAAAAGCCCTTGTGTAAAGTAAAACCAGGCTTACTGGTGAGGCTTACTACACCGACAGTGATTTATCCAGCAGGATTAACATTAACAAAGAGTTGTGCTCTGGCCCAGATGACCAGGTCAGCAGAGTTTAACAGCTCATCCCGGCCAGCGGCCGCTGGCAAGGCAGGGTCATTGATGAATGCTCCAACGGAGGCGGAGGATGTGCTTTGAAAGGTTGAGGTGTGCTGCAGTAAGTCTAAAAATAACCCACCAGCCTGTGATATTCCCCAAAGCCATCTGCCCCTTTTAGAATTATCCCCATAACAACGGCTCATTTGATATCTCTCGTCTTTCCATCAAATATTCCATCTGCTACAACGAAAAGATGATAGGAGCCCGCTTACTTCAGGTGACATAAAACACTTCCACGTTGTTGGAGCAGGAGGCC